GAATGAAAAATAAAAGCTTTCAAGAATCGATCATCACCTTGCACCCACTAGATTATGAACATGCAATCCAAGCTCTGCTTCAATGAACACGTTGTGATCTGGAATAATCATCGCCTGAATGTTTTTCAGGTTGCATCATGTATGTCGGAATGATTGCAAGCAGACCTTTGCAGGCGTCTCCAAGGAATTGATCTTCTTAAATCGTGAAGAACTCTGACTGCCTTTCCCACTTGTGCCATTGGAAGGTCCAGGAAGGCTGTTGACAGTATTGTTGTTTGACTCTTGCTCTCCAAGGTACCGGAGAGAGAGATAGGAAGCGAAGGGCAGGATAGAGGAGGGAGGAGGGAGGAGAGAGAGGAGAGGAGAGGAGAGGAGAGGAAAGAGGAGGGAGGAGGGAGGAGGGAGGGAACAATGGTGAGCAGGATGTTCAGGATGAGAAGAGCGAGGACGGGAACAAGGACGAGGAAATCTGATAGGATTGCAGGCGGGCATATAGCTTGAATGGGAACAGTGATACTGACTGAAATCATCACGACAAGACCTCGCCTCAGGGAGCAAGAATGATGAGATGCCCATCAGTGTAACAAGTTTGAGGACATTCGATGAGTCCCTTCAGTATCTTCAGAGCGGCTCTTATACTTGTTGCAAGCATCAACACTGGGAACACGTTCTGTCTCAGTGGGTGTAGAAGTTTCCAGTCTGGGAGCAGGCTGAAGGCTCGAAATCTGTTGAGAGCTGCACCGAGGGTTGCGGTGACGGCAAGATCGAACGTGTTGTCGTCGTTGACGATGTCGGAAGCTGTCGAGCGAGGATGGGAGACCTCGACTTTGAACGATCAGCAAGAGAGCCAAGACAGCATGTGCAAACAAGATAGTTTGGAAGTCGGTGATGTTGAGAGGTTCCTCAAGAGCAGGGATGTAGAGTACACAATCGTGGCAGTCGAGAGGGGAGAGGAGGAGGAAGTGAACGCGGAGAGCACGGCGGTACTTCTGGGAGTGAACAGTAGCGTCGTTGTCAAGTCTCTTGTCTTTGTGGTAGGAAACCATCCTGTCCTCGTTGTGCTCTCCGGGAACAAGAAAGTCAGCATCAAGAAACTCAGTCAGTGCCTGAAGCAGAAGAGAGACAGGCTGAGGGAGCGGGGTGAGAGCATGGCCATAGCGGACCGTGCTGCCTCTGTCAAGCTTGCGCCGTCGGAGGACGCGGAGGAGTGGACCGGGTACAGGATAGGAATGATACCTCCCTTTGCTCACAGAAGAAGCATGCTCACTATCGTGGACGAGGAGGTGCTGCGAACTCCTCGAGTGTTCGTTGGGTGCGGGAGAATGGAGCTGGAGCTGTCGATCAAGGTGGAGGACCTGCTGGCCGTCACAGGAGCCGTCGTAGCGGATGTGGGGAGAGTGAAGGAGGAGGGGAGGAGGGAGGGGCCCCTCCTTCCTTACTCTCGTTTCCACACCTCAGTCACGGGAGGGAAGACAAAGGTGCGGCAAGTGCTGGAGGGAGGGGAGGAGGAGGAAGGCGGCGGGGAGGAGGAGCGGGAGCGAGACGAAGAGGAGGCAGGGGAGGAGACGGGCTCGGACAAGGTGTATGAAATCACCTCGGAATGGAAGGATGTAGATCCTGAGACGCTCCCTTCCACATTCCTCACTGGAGATTTCTGCCTCATCTCTGCTAACAAGATCGGGCGGCGACTGCTGTTCGGGTTTGCCGTCCACCGGGACATGCGGCAGGAGGTAGCGCGGCTGGTGTCGTCGAGGAGTCTGCACCGGTCGATCAGGAGGAGGAGGAGCTGGTGCTGGAGGCAGGAGGAGGAGGAGACGACGACCTTCTCTCTGCAGCTCATCTTTGGCAAGACGCTGACGGCAAACATCGGCGACGAGGAGGTTGAGAGGAGGGGCAGGAGGAGGAAGGGGCAAGGGCAGGAGCAGGGGCAGGAGCAGGGGCAGGAGGAGGAGGAGGAGGAGGAGGGGCAAGACTGACGGTAAGAGTAGGCGGGAAAACTTTTCAAGGCAATCAGAACCGGCTCCATGGTGAGAGCAAAGGAGGTTGTGATGTGCTGCTGAGCGTTTCCTACAGGTCCGGGTCGGAGGAGTTTTGAAGCAGCAGGCAGGGAGAGTTGAGGTGCGAAGAAGAGAGGGGAGGAGAGGGAGAGGGAGAGGGGAGGAGATGAAGAGGAGAGCAGAGGAGAGGAGAGAGTTAAGAGTTTCTCCTGTCCTGACTTGGTGAGGCAGAGGGCGAGGGATTCGACTATCGACTTCATAGTTCACAATGTCACCCTCCTGCAACCTTCACTGTCTGATATCGAAGTGCGTTCTCTTCCTGATTTCCTCTCGTTCTTCCTCCTCCTCTTACTCCTTTCTCTTTCCATCCTCTTCTCCCTTTTCTCTTCCTCTGCGTCTCCTCCTCTCGTCTTTTGATCTTTCCCGCAGGA